AATGCACACCTTTAAGCAAAGAAGAAAAGTAATAGAAAAGATCAGATGATGTAAGTTTAGGGTGATAGATATAAAAGGCATTAAGTGCTAACTCTACTCCAATCCAGGACAATCCTTTCAACAGCTCACTCCTGAGAGTCAGATCCCCCGTTTTTAATTGTATCCTGTCTAGATCTTTAGACTCTTTGAGAAGGTCAGCACCACAACTTGCAGCTTGTTATCTCCATGTAAGGGTCACTAGAGAACAGTGAGTTTTTATAGACTAAAGAGTTCAATCTCTTCCAAAAAAATCATTATGTAGTTCCGCTGTTAGGATAGATTCCACACCCTCCAGGGAAAAATGAATACATATAAAACACCCAGACAATACCCAGCTGATGGGCCATTTCTTTACACCTACTACTTTAGGCTTCAAAAGCTTCTTATAACTTTCCCCTGTTTATTTGTTTTCCTAGAGCTGCTAGTAATAAGATCCCTAAGAAACCTGAAAAAGACTTATGTGCTTTTTGGGCAGTGAACAGGAAAGGAGAAGTAGAAACTTTTCTACAGGGATCCTGGGGAGAGAAGTGGGAAAAAAAGCAGTGTTGATAGGGAATTAAGAAAGAGGGCAGGCCCTGAAGTTCCCCAAGACAAGAAATAGGGGCCTGGAGAGCTGGCGTGGCACAGAAAATTATCTTGATTTTTCAAATAGGCATGAAGGAGGGCCTACATGGCATAATGAGATGTCATGACCAAATTGGAGAATGAGGATGAACAGTGAAATAGGAATCTCACTGGAGACCAAGGTCTTCTGATATCAGCAATACCTCAACCTTTCCCCCATAATTAGAATCCTAACCTTGCCAATCCTGCCATTCCCTTTTTCTAAGCCTGCTTTATCTCTCCCATAACCCTCAGCTCCAGAGGGACACCCTACTCTTTGTAAAGACACAAAGATCCTGACACTCTAGAGCAGCGTTCTCAAAGTTTTGGTCTCAGATGCTCTTCATAATCTTAAAAATTATTGAGGACTCCCAAAGGATTTTGTTTATATGGGGTTTTTATCTATCAATATTTACCACTTAGAAATGAAAACGTCTCAGTATTACCATAAAAAGTAGTTTTGAACTCGAAGACCCAAGAAAGAAAAGGTCTTGGGGGTGCCCAGGGGTCTATAGACCACATTTTGAGAACTGCTGCTTTAGTGTAGGGAATTTAAAGGGAATAATATTATATTCACCAGCAAAAAAAGGGAAAGGAAGACTTACTTTGGAGTATCCCAAAGCAACATACAATGTCCTTAAGGTACTAGAACATAAAATAGTTTAACAATCTAGGCAGCTAGGTGGCAGAGTATACTTGGAGTTAGGAAGATCTAAGTTCAAATCCCACCTCAGACTCTTTCTAGCTATGTGACTTTAGGAAAGTCAATTAATCTATTTCAACCTCAGTTTCTCCATCTGTAAAATGGGGATAATATGTGAAAAAGACGAAAAGATACAGAACAAAGTAAAGTGCTCTGCAAACCTTAAATCACTATATAAATGCTAGCTATTATCTAGACAAAGTAAGTAAACAGATCCAGAAGAACGATATGTATAATCATAAAAACATTGTAAACACAAACAATTTTCAAAGACTTAAAACTCTGATCAATGCAATAACTAACTGTGATTCCAAAGGGAGCTACAGAAAAATAGACTCAGGATGCAGAATGAGATCATATGGGTAAACATACACACACACACACACACACACACACACACACACACACATCTATATCTATGTAGATAGATAGATAGATAGGTAGATAGATAGGTAGATAGATAGATAGATATGTACACATAATTTTTTTCCTTGAGTATGAATATTTATTACAAAGGTTTTCTTCTTTTTTTCCAATGGGTGGGAGAAGGTGGGAGGAAGAGAAAATAAATGCTTGTTAATTGAAAAAAATCGTTTTATTCTCAAAGAAAGAAATGAGTCCAGGGGCAGGTATAGGATAAGATGGGTCTCGAGGAAACATTAGCCTACATTTCACTTATATACCCACAGGAGGGCACTGCTTCCCAGCAAGACATACTTACTCAACCAATGTTTCTGTGTTTATCTGCCCAGGCTTATACCTCAAGGATCCATTGACCATATTCTCTACTCTTGCCTCAGCTGTTATATTAGAATACAGAATATTATATTATGTTATATTAGAATACAGAATATTAGAAGCAACATTAGAGATCATCTTCTCCAATTCATTTTACAATTGAGGAAACTGATACCCAGAGATATAACTTGCCCAGGGTCAAATATGCACTAAAGGACAGAACTAAGAACCTCTGACTTCACATCCAATGTCTTCCATTGCATCATGCCATTCCATTGAGCAAAGACATTGAACAATTGTCTTATGCTTAGAGTGGGATGACTTTTTATTTTGATTTCTCTCAGGGAATCCAATTTTGTTCGTTCTAATACAAGCAAAACTCCTGATTTTCAGGAGGAACGGCTGGAGCTTGAGTAACTCCGACACATCCAGGCATGGCATTCTCTCAGACAGACCTCTGCTAAGGACAAACTGTATTTTTGAGACAGGTACACTCACTTCTCCCCTGATATGTCCAGTATTCCAATCTAGGCTCAAAGATCATTCTGTAATTGGTTCAGATAAAAGCCTAATAAAAATAACAAATGGTTTTCAGTTGAATAGAGTAGAAATTAAAACCCCTTGTACCTATGAAAACTCTCAATTGCAAGCAGCAGACTTGGTTCTATACTGCTTACGAAGAAAAACAGATAAGTAAAAACAACTTTGTTTTCTCAAAATTATCATTCACTCCCCACCTCCTCATCCAATAATCTTCATTCTCTTACTATTTTGTAGGAAGCATGGCTTAGTGGAAAGTGTATCCTATCCAGAATCAAAGGACGTGGCTCAGAAACTCAGTTGACTTTAAACCTGTATGTGACCTTGGACAAGTTACTTAACCTCTTCTAGCCTCTGTTTTCTCATCGGTAAAATGAGGAGGTTGGATATGATGACCTCCAAGATTCTTTCCAGCTCCAAGTCTATGATTCTCACTTCTGAGATCTGATCACACACAGATAGGGAATAAAAGGTGGGTTTTCAAGTCTTGAGGAACACAGGAGTGATCTGGAGTCTGTCCAGCCAGGAGAGGGGAATTTCATTCTCCCTCCCAAAACAGAACCTAACCATGTTGTTATCTCCAGGGTGAAAGGTAAACCCCCATTCTGTTGCCCCAGACTTCTAAGAATAGGATTAGGTTTAGGGTTACTGTAATTGGAAAATAAGGAGGAAAAAAGTCCAAAAAAATGCTGTCACGACTTCTGAAAATGTTTCTGCTCTTGGACATGGTGACTTCTTTTATTTCTCCCAGTCTGGAAATGCCACTAATCACCACCTTGTGCTTTAATGAATGAAACTCCATCCTGTCATGTGATGCTGTAGAAAGAGGGCTGGATTCAGAATCAGAATATCTGGGTACAAATCTCAAGCTCTTCCTGTTATTAACTGTGTGATTTTGGATAAGACATTTCACTTTTCTGAGCCTCACTTTTCCTATTTGTAAAATGAGAGTGGTTGGTAGCAAAGGTCTCTTCCAACAATAAATCTCTAACACTATGATACGTGACTTTGCCTCAAAACTGAATTCCACCAACATCAGTAACATCCTTCTGAAACAGAGAGCTAGTTAGTGGAAATGACTTTACACTTTTGGGAACACCAAAAAGTGACACATAAAGGGAAGGATGTTAACATGGTACCCAGAAAATCACAACGAATAAATGACACAGTTTGAGTAACCATGCCCAGAATTCGAACCAAATTTATGGCTTCCTAACCATTCCATTCATTTGGGTGGAGCCCTTAAATGGCAAAGTAGGGATGTGAATCTAGGTCCTCTGATTACTAACCTAGCATTCTTTCTACTGTAGGTGGGAAACCATTGAGTTCAATCACATAAGAAGGCAGAACACACTGAGCATAGGAAGCAGACTTAGCAGAGTCTGAAGATGAGTCTTAGACCACAGCCAGGTATGAGATGTCTCTATTTGGTATACATTAGGGCAGAGGTAGAGTGCATATGCAAATATTTTTATATAGGTGTGTATATGTGTATATACACAGAGACACACATATTTATAATATAACTGTCTATATGCGTGTGTGTTCATGTATCTACATACATATACAAATATAGGCATACATATATCAATATATACATGTGCATACATATTTATATGCCTGTATCTGTGTAGATATTCAGGTATGTGTACTGTATAGATATATTATGCATACACATGCATATTTATACATTTATATGTGCATATGTATATGTGTGTATATATGTTGTTTTACACATAAATATACACTTTTTCCTGGCTTACAGCTTTGAAAGAAGACACAGGAGGCTTCAGGATATGCATGCGCGCATGTATACATGCATACTTACACACACACCTACATATACACACATCCATTGTATGTATATACATATATGTACACATGTGTGTCTATGTTATCTATATGTACACATGTATATCTCGATATATGCACATATGCGCACACATATTTGTGTGTGTATGTGTGTATATACTCACATATATATTTATATGCAGATATCTATGTATAAAACATAGATGTCAAGGTCGAGCAAGCACTAGATTGGAGTAGTAAGATTCATTCACAGGAATGAAACCTGACTTCATTACTTACCATCAACATTGACAGTGAGCAAAGCCCTCCCCCTTCTTGGATCTTAGTTCCCTCATCCATAAAATGTGGGAGATGGCCTAGATAGTCCCCAAAGCCTTTCCAGCTCTGAAACCTACGAGGATCTGAGTTCTGACTTTAGCTACACAGAGAGGAGTTTATAAGTCACAGAACTGACTGAGACACCCTTGGAGCTGCTCTCTCTGAGTGTGTCTGACACCTCAGAGGCCCCTTGAGCTTCAAACAGCAGCTAGAACCATTCAAAGCACTCCCAGAGGCTTCAGGGTCAAAAGACATCACAGTGGGAGAGTCCTTAGGTAGAGAGAGAGGAGGTAGACTTGACATCATTGTTCCTCTTTGAAAAGGAAGAACGAACAACACAGAGAGAGGAACATGAAGAGGCCACTGGGAGCTTCCTTCTGGTTCATCTGGCTCCAGATGTGTTGTGAGTTAGGGATGCTCATCAAGAAGGAATTAAATGGCTTCAGTTAGAAACACAGTGGGGAGAGAGCTCAGAAAGGCACCCAGGCTTTTAGTGCTCTTAATGGGTCCAGAATATCTTCACAGGCTTAGAAAGGAAGCAGCGTGATATAGGGGAAAGACCACTGGCCATGCAGACAGAAGGTCTGGGTTCAAACCCTACATCTGACACTGCTTGTAAGACCTTAGGTGTGTCACTTAAACTCCTTGGGCCACAGGTTTTCTCTTCTTTAAAATGGGAGGAAGAAGAAAGGGCTAACTGAACCTCAGAGATCCCTTCTGACTCTGGATCTATGATGGTATAAAAAAGCTGCAGTGATTCTCACTGACCTGTGTCCATTCTCTTTCTCTCACCAGGGGTGAGAGGGCAGGTGAAGGTGGATCAGAGTCCTCAAGTCCTGAGCCTCCAGGAGGGAGAGGATGTCACGCTGAGGTGCAACTTCTCATCTACTATGACCACCTTACAATGGTTCAAACAGAAACCTGAAGAAGGCCTCATCTTCCTATTTTTCTTGACTGGAGAGACACAGAAGAAAGGAAATTTAAGAGCCACGCTCAATACAAAGGAACGGCAGAGCTCCCTGTATATCAGAGCCTCCCAGCCCAGAGACTCGGGCACTTACCTCTGTGCCATTCAGGCACAGTGCTCCCCAGGCATCTGTTGTCTGTACATGAACACTGCACCTGGGGAATGGGCCACACTCCCCAGGAGTGGTGCAACAGGGTGCATAGATCAAGACTCCACAATATTTACACAATCTCGTAACTTTCTTGGTTCAGACTGATGGTAATGTATCCCAGTCCGGGACCCTGGGATCGGATGTCTGCCTCTGACTTTCAGCTTATCTCTAGACTCCTTACTCTATTTTAAAACTGAAATGCAGAAACAAGTCTGCTATGTGGGTACCTGAAAACCGGCAGAACCATCCAAATCAGGCTCAGAGACAGGGATCAGCAATGGAGAGAGAATAATGGGAACTTTCATGTCTTTTGTAACCCTGAATTTAGGCCTTGTGCATTTACAAAAGATTCTCCTTGTTGGTGGAGGGAATAATTACTCAACTAGTAACTGCAAGAGGGACAGAGCTATCAAGAGCTTGAGAGAAAAAAAGACTTTCTCCCAGCTTCCATCTTTGAGAGAAGACATACGAGGTTCCAGGATCTCTTTGGAGAGACAGAGAAAAGACTTTGGGAATTAGCAGATATGTCCCTGGCCTACTAAATAAAGTTGAAATCACTTATCCTACCCTAGGCTCTCTACATTACTCTCCCAGTCTTATCTTCTACTGTTTCCCTACAGAAATTGTTGGCTCCGACCAAATTGATCTTTTAGCTACTTCCTAAATACAACTCTCATTTTTTTTAACTTCCCCACCTTTGCTCTTGATATTTCCTCCAATTGCAATGTCTTCCTCTCTCCATCCCCCCCATTTCCATATCTTTACAATATTAATCCTTCAAGATTAATTCAAATGTCAACTTCCCAGTGAAACCTTTGATGGTCCTCACCCAATTTAATCTCTCCCCCTTCTGAATTCCAATGATGTAGGATCCAATGAGATAACATATGCACAGAGTTTTGCAAACCCTAAAACTCTATATGTGTGCTAATTATCATGGCATGAATCCCAAACTCCTTGGAACATTGAATAATCAGTCTCCATCAATGAGGAGAGTCTTATGCAAATGAGCTTTGAGCCTCTGGTTACAGCAGTATGCTGTTTCTATTCAGGCAAGAAGTTTGGAAAATAGGTTTCTGCATTTGGCAGCCAACAAGCTAAATTGTCAGTCTTGCCTCTGAGTCCAAGAAAAAGAAAAAAGCATGAGGGGAATATATAACTTTAGTGATTGGAGATCTGGCCTCAAGATGGCAATGTTTCCATTCCCCTTCAGAGCCCACATGTGGGAGTGGGGGGTGGGTAATGAGATCTGTTTATGATTGGCTGAAAAGTATTAAGTATTTCCTATGTTTTCTAGAGCAAAAGCAGCATAACTGAAACCTCAGAGCCCTCAATCAAGACATTGGGCATAAAACCAAATCCTATTATTGTAATTATCTTATTTCTCCCAAACTAAATTGTACTGATACCAGGCAGAAGGAAGAATGGTGAAGCTCCTAAGATTCTCATTAGTGCTTCTGTGGTTTCAACTTACCTGTGAGTTGAATAGATGCTAGAAATTGGAATAAAGGCTGGAGGGACATTCCCTTCAAACCTTAGGGGCAGACACAATGCCTAATCCATTTTATCTGGAGGGTTACTTGCAGAAGACTAGAAAGAAAATACAGCTTAAGAAAATTGATACCTGATGACCAGTCTCTTTCTGTCTTTCTGAACAGGGGTGAGTGGCCAGAAGAAGGTGGAGCAGATTCCGCAGTCCCCGAGCTTGAAAGAGGGAGAGAATGTCACCATAAAGTGCAATTACTCATTTACTGAAAACAGCCTACAGTGGTTCAGACAGGATCCACAGGAAGGTATTGTCTCCTTATTTGTACTGACTACAGGGGTGAAGAAGAAAGGAAGATTGGAAGCCTCAATCACCTCCAAAGAACGGCACAGCTTCTTACACATCACCAACTCCAAGCCTGAAGACTCAGGCACCTACCTGTGTGCTGTGGAGGCACAGTGGGCCCCAGGCACCTGCAGGCTGTGCATAAAACCTCTAGCTGGGGTCTTAGCCACACTCCCTACTACAGAATGACACAACATCAGGATGTTTACAATGCCTTATCTTTCGTAGTGTATTGGGAAAGCATTTGTAGTCTAACTTTATTTTCAGAATCCCTTTTGGAAATAGACTATGGGTTTCTAGCTCTACCCTACAATTTCAGTTACTTGCCAAGCTGTAGGGAGGAAGGGAAGAGTAAAGATTTCTGAAAAACAGGGAAAGGGGAAAGTTCCATGACTGGCTCACTCAATTCAGGCAATGTGAGGGGCTGGAAATTTGTTGGGTAAAGGGAGAGAAAGAGACTCAAAAAGTTCGGGAAACCCATGGCTCAAACGGTGGGTGGGCTCTGAGGTCAGGGAGACCAGATTCAGTCCTGGGGCCCTAAAGAACAGAATTAGGCCCCCTTTTTTATTCTTCATATTCTCTAGTTCATCATTTCCCAATCTTAAGGAAAATATCTTGCATAAACTTAGGTAGGCTTATGTGTAGGATTTCCCCTAGGAGAAATTAACAAATGTTCCTTCTAGAAAAATTGCTCATTGTAAAAAGTAGTAGGTATCAAGGATAGGATAGCTATTTATTTCCTCCACCACAAAAAGAAACACAAAAGGATTCATAAGCACATGTAATCAAATACATAAAAAATAAAACAGTAGCTCATAACTTCAGTTATACTCTCCCAGAAGGCAAAGACTTACTAAGGACTTTTCAACTGCTCAACAGATTCCATTTTCACCTTGATCTTCAGCAGCCAAGCAGCAATTAACTCAAGGATCATGTCTTCTGACCAGCCAGGATCAGCCTTCTGGTCATAATCATCTTCTGTTTTCAGAAATATTGATATAGCTGTAAAAAAGCATTTCTCACTGGGCAACTAGCTCCTGGACCTCACAATGACTCTGGATCTGAAACTCATGAGGTATAGCTAAAACCATCCATCTCAGCTTGCTGTTCAGTCACCTTTGTTTAGGGAGAGATATAAAGCAGAAGAGGCAATTACAGTGTTGAGATCTAGTCACAGAAAAGTTCATGGACTTGCTTCACAGATGTGTAACTGCCATAGCTACATCTGGGGAGTGGGAAGAAAACACCATTCCCCTTGCTAGAAGTATGAAGGAGAAAGGAGAGCTTTCAGAGCCCCAAACCACACACATAAAAGACAAGCAGAGAGAGAAGGGGGAAGGTTTTGTCCATTTAAAGACTACTGAGTGGATGGCTCTTCCTGGTTCATTTGTCAATCCTCTTCTTCTTCTCCATCACCAGAACCCAGCAGGAATGTCCCTTTAAAAAGGGACCAAAGTACCTGTGTCCCCAAAAGTGGCCTGCATGCATGCCCAAATCCACTTCCTCTTGGTAAATATGTTTCAATAAATTAAGCTGTTTTCCCACAGATTAGCTACCACTATAGTGTAGCAGAAGAATAAGAATTAATGCCACCTTTCCTTTTTCTTTCATTTAATCTTAGATCCAGAAATTATTGACTCAGAAAGAGGTCCAAACTTAAAATTTTTAAAATCAACAGTATCATTTGATAAAACAAGTTGTGATAGATGGGTAGGGAAAACACCAATGTTATTTATTAGTATTATTTTAACTTAAAAAATTTCTCCTTGTATTCTAAAATTATTTTTTTAAAAATCTGCCTGTCAGACTACATATTCATTCTAAACAGAGAGTATGACTCTTTACTCCCTTCCCAGGAAGAGAAAAATGAAAATCTCTACTGCCATTACGAGGAAACAGATGTGGGGGTTTTATGCTTCCCAGGTGGTTCTGGGGAGGAAAAGAAAAGTTTTTACCTGCAGGCCAAGCTTCTGATGACAAGCCTTTTGGAAATTAACCAAACTGGTCCTTGGACTAAAGATGCTCAGTCTCTATCTAGGCCCCAAATAAAAACTTTTCCATCTTACTAGGATCTGCCAACACTTGGGCTTCACTGACCTAACCTGTACTAACCCAGGATAACCTGCATTCTATGATGAGCCATTAGAGTAAAATGTTAGTGCAATGGAGCCATACATATTTAAGTAAAAGTGAGAATTAGTGCTAATCTCTCGTGTCTTGTAGCACAGGCTGTGATTCTCTACCACCATCTGGTAAGTTTCGGAGAACTTTCTAAAAAGGGAAATTTAACCTCTCTGAAGTGGTAGAATTGCAAATCAACCATCCCAGTGATGATAATTTTGGGACATTCTCAGCAATGCATTGCTAATATCAATTCTCTGTTAAATATTCAGTTAATATTTGCAAAGTCCAACAAATTTTTGCTCCTCCAAGTCATGGAATGTCAGATTTGGAGGTTATCTGGTTCATTTCTCTACCTAAAAACTTTCTTTTGAAATTTTCTAGTCCATCCCTTTACCTCATACGTAATTCTGTAATATCCCTGACAAATGATTATCCAACTTCTGCTTGAATGCTTCTGGAAATACGGATCTCGCTACATAACCAAGCAGCCAGGAAAAATGCATTGTCAGGAGATGAAGGGTCTTTTCAAGGAACACTAAGGAGGCCAGTGTCACTGGATGTGAATAAGAGTAATGTGTACAAATACTAAAACTTTTATTCTTGTCTGTTTTCCCTGCTTAGGCCAACCTCTCTACATGTATCCTTGATCCCACCACTTCTTCTTTCTAGCAGATTGCATTGGTTTTCATCCCTTCTCTCTTTCTAGTATTCAACATCTTTCTAACTACTGGTTCCCACCTCATTCCCTACAAGCACACCCAACTCTCTTCCATCTTAAAAAAAAACCTTTACTAGTTCCTACTATTCCCCATTAGCTTCCATGCCATATTCTATCCCCTCTCAGCCAAAACAACAAAAAAACCAAGTATGATGACAAAAACATCAATTAGTTCTTCCCCTCACTCATTTGCAAATTCATCATCATCATTGATTCCTTACTCGCCTCACGTGTCCAAGTAGTTGCCAAAATTGGGCATTTCTGGATTCATAATATCTCTTCCATATGTACTTTCTTTGTACTCATACTTATCACACTAGTTTGGGACCTCAAAATCTCTCACCTGTATTATTGCAAAAGACATCCTGGTCACGAGGATATCCCTATTCCAATTCATTCTCCATATAACTAACAAAATGATTTTCCTAAATACAGTTTTGATCATGACCAACCCTCCCCTCAAAAAACTTGATTTACTTTTTATTACCTCTAAGATCAGATATAAACTCCTCTCTTTTATTCTTAAAATTCTTCACAGATTGGCCTCTTTCTACCTTTCCAGTCTCCTTGACGGATTATACATTCTACAATCCAGCCATATTGGCTTGATCGCTGTTCATAATAATCTATCTCTCACTTTTGAGGCTTTTTATTGGTTATCCCTCTCCTCACCCTCACCTATGTCTCTTAAAGGACCTGGCTCTTTTCAAGACTCAACTCAATTGCCACCTTCTGCAGGAAGCTTTTCTTACTCCACTCCCCAATACGCTATCTGCTGGTGCCTTCCTATCCAAGGGTATTTTTTTGTCTGCTTTGCATTTGTCTTGTACATACTTATGTAATGTAACCGTGGAATGGTCTTGATTCCCTTCTCTCTTGGCTTTCATATCAACCTTCACTCATGCTGGCAGGTCAGCGGATCCCAGACGAGATCATCCACATTGCTACAACTTACGCTCAAGTTTCTAGGGGTAACTTTGGTGTGGGGAAAGGTATATGTCTATTACTCAGAATGTAGGTCCTGAGTCCCCACTGATATTCTTATTTAACAATCAGCCAAGAAGGTAGTTTCTGATTCCATCTATAAAACCAGTGTGGTCAATGGAGCAGCCTCTCTATTCATCTTTCCAAATAGAGTACAGGACCCTTCCCCTGCCCTGGTTCACCCTGGGACATACTACTGTATACTATTGCACTTTGCAGGGCATGCAGTGTGTCAGAAAAGAACCGTATGGAATATCTCCTTGACTTTGGTTGGGACAGAAGCCTAAAGAGACATAGAACAAGAAGACTACAGGTTACATTTGATCAATCACTTAAAATCCATTTATTAAGTGCCTACTATGTGCTGGGCACAGTGTTAGGCATTGTACATAAGACACAAAAAATTAAACAGCCCCTGCCCTCAATGAGCTTGCCTTATATGGGGGGAAGGCAACATGTTTATGCAAAAATTAAATACAAAATATATACAAATTAAATACTAAATAACTTGGGAAAGAAACACTGGAAATTGAAAGAACAGTAAAGTCTCCTTGTAGTACTTGAGCTATATGGTGGGATTGTGCTATTACCCTGTGCTCTCAGTTAGTGTTGAAGATAAGCTGTCTCTATAAAGAGGTGAGAACAGCTCCCTAAATATTAAAAAGGTCCCCAATTCCTGAAAGCATGTTTACCTGAGGAAAAGAAGAAGAAAGGAAGTGACTTGCATTGCATCACCCAGTATTCACCCATTCTTCTATTATCTCCCCCTACAACTGTCTAAACCTGCTTATCTCTCATGTCAGGACATTACTATATTGGCAATGCAGTAGTAGCCCCGGAAGCCCCAAAGCTCATCACTTTCATTTGTAAATTAATTCATCCCAAGTAATAATAAGCCTGAATACATTTGAAGTATAACTATGTCAACTATAACATGACAGTTTTTATTAGATAAGTCTGTGACACATAGACTGTTATTACTGAATTTCACAGAATTCAGGAGTTGAAAGGGACCTCAGAGACCATCTTGTCTATTACCCTTAAGCAATTATCTCTTCTCCAACAACCATGACTAGTGGCCATTCAACCTTTATGTGAAGACCTCAGTGAGGGAAATCTATTACATTCCTATTCAGCCTCTTCCCAAAGTAGAAATTGCTCCTTATACCAAATGTAAGTCTGCCTCTCTGCAACTTCTACCCACTGCTCCTAGTTTACCAAAGGGGTGTCAGTTAACACAAACCAAAATGCCTGATTTTGGAACCAGATCAAATTAAAGTATAATTATAACAAAATAAAGTATAAGGTACAAACCTGGTCAGGCTGATGCATTAACACAAAGTCCGTAAATTCTTCATTTTAT